GTTGGTTTTCGTATCTTGTACGATGGCTGTTTCCGCAGCACAAACTCTTCGGTCGCTCACTCCTGTGAGCTGGATACTCTTCGTTCGTTCACTCCTGGGAGTTGATCTTGCACGTTGCTCACTCCTGTGAGCTTGCTGCCTTGATCCGACCGGAGCTCACCTCTTGCTCCAACTCAATTGGTCATAACTCAATCAGTTCCTGTTGGATTCTCTTGCTTCAAGCATAGAAGAGGTGTAGTTAGTGATGTTCTTTTGCGTGGTATGCTCAGATTGGCCTGTCCGGTTGGTCAATCGCTCCGTAGCTCAATGCGTGAGGGATTTGGCTCCCGATTCGATTCCGTTCCGTGATGAGGAATTTCGCCTGTTGAGCTGTTTTGGTAGCCCTTATAGTGGGGCTCCAGCACTGTCTAGCGCTGGATTGTGTGGCGTTACCTTATAGCCATAGACTTGATATCATGTAATAGGATGTCGATATCCCATGGGCGAGATCTCGAATTCGAGATGAAGGTAGAGCTTCTTGGAAATAGTGTTGGTTTCTAGTAACACTCTAGCTTAGTAAAGGTAAAATACTGTTTTACTGTTAAGCTATTTCCAAGAAGTGATCTTTCTCCATGTTTTCTGGGATTGATTCAACTTCAAAGGATATAGTGAAGGGGGTGACCATATAGATCAGTTAAACTCCCCATGTATGTAACTAGAGAATAGATATAGATATCCCCTATAACTAGATTGGGATAAACGACTAATTTGTATTGAGGTGTCTGTAATACAACCTCCAACACTCGCGTCGTTCTGTCGACTGGCGTGCAATGAGTCCAAAACAAACCTTGGAAGTAGTTGCTCGGCATCCCGCTTGGTGGCGAGAAGCTGAGCGGGTGGAGACGAGACAATACGGACATTGTCATCATCATAAAAGTCTTTGTGGCTGGCACTCCTGCTGGGAGTGATGCCACTCCTGGAAGACTGGTGTCGGATGATACCGTCACTTGGTGTACCTGCGGCTCAGACTGGGAAGTCTGGCTGCATTGACACTTGATGGGGCTGGAAGCCCTTCGTAGATGGAAGCTGGTTGAAGCTTCTGGAAGTCGTAGACTTGTGGGAAGTGATGCCCTATTGGAAGGTGCATTGAAGCTGGAAATGATGTAGCTTGGAAGTCACGGACTTGTTGGGTTCGACTGAACCTAGTTCTTGGATGGTCTCGATGTCTGAAGATGGAATGAGGAAATGGTTGAGTTATTGTTTCCTCTCGTCATGGTTGTTTATACTCATGTGAGACTCGTGACTGCTGGTGTCGTCACTTGTGATGACTGGTGCCGTCACTTGGTACACTTGGTACCCTCATGGCGCACCAGCCGAGAATTGAACTCGGGCCTCATCGTTGCGATTGGTCCCAGGGATAGACCATATATATCTGGTTTCACCAGCGATTGCTCGCCAATACCGTCATTTGGTGTTGCCGTAGCTGAGACTGGGAAGTCAGGCTATAGCGACACTTGGGAGAACTGTTGTAGTAGCCGGAACTAGGAGGAAGTTCCTTGCCACAATGATGCTTTGAGTTGGGGCTAGAAGCCCTTGGAAGTTTGGAAACTTGTAAGGAAGTATTCGGTAGTAGTTGTGGATGCTCCAACTTGATGGGCTCCACTGGACCTGGACGTGTCACGGTCGATGATGGTTCGATGGTGATGTAGTCGGTAGATCCTTTGGTTGGTGATGCCACTGCTCTTACACTCCTGTGAGATGGCTGTGGCAGGACAAGTGTTGGTTCTGTCACTGCTCTTACACTCCTGTGAGCAGGCTGTGACAGGACTTGTAGTTGTCCGTAGTTGTATCTTCTGTAGGCTTGATTTGTTGTACTCATGTACTTCTGTTGGTGTGAGACTAAGGTTGTTTGCAATCTCTGTACAGTAGTTGCAGTGGAGCTGAGGTGTGCACCCTCTTGTTGTTTCTTTTGATCAGGTTCCCGCTTGTGGGTCAAACTCTGAATGCTCCAGCCATCCTGTGGCTTGGTTCCTTGTCTTGTGAACTCTTGAGTGGTTTGCTTGTAGCTAGCTACTCGGTTCAACGTTCACTGTCGTTCTGCTGTTGTTGCAGTTGCCGTTATTGTAGGTGCAATTTGAATTTGGTTTGGTCGATTCATTGTAATCGGTTTGGTAGTGGTAGATACCGTTGTTGACTGTTGTTGCCATCGATGCTGGCTGTTGATGTAGCCATTGATGTTGGCTGTTGTTGTAGCCATTGATGGTTGTTGGATTTGGGTACCCTCACACTCCTGTGCACTTGCTGTGATCAAATAGCAAGGGCATGGTCTTGTAATGGTATCTGTTGTTGCCTACCTAGAGGCTGGTGTTGCCTCAGGTTTGCCTGTAATCATTAAGGAAGTGCTGTCGATTAGTTGCACAATACACATTCCATAAAAGGTAGTAGGAGGTGCTGTGGCTGGAATGCCACAATACACACTCCATGAAAGGGGAGTAGGAGGTGCTGAGTGTAGACTCATTACACACTCCAAAGAAAATATTTGATGCTGGTGGAAGCACTCCTGTGCTTCCTGTAGCTTGCAAGCTTGAAGCTCTTGTGCTGTTGGTTCTAGCGCTAGCTACTAATAGCTAGCACTGTGCATGCTCGGGTACAGGTACCGGTGCATGGCTGCTTGCTTGGATCTTCCACGGAAAATCCTCTTGTTGCCGACGTCGCGAGATCTGGCTCTGTACACTCCTGGAAAGATACTTTTCACGAAAAGATACCTTTTCCTTGTGACCTTCAGTGGCTTCGTTTGTTGGTCGCTGAACTGCAGGCTGTTCTTTGCCGTTCCGTGGAACTGATCGGTTGCTCCAGTGAGAATTTCCCCACAAAAAGCAATGTCTTCTTTTGCCGACAGCAGTTGCCAACAGCACTCTTCTGTTGCCGACACTGTTGTCGATCAACAGACACAATGGCGCTGTCGATCGTTTCGTTGTTGTTCGTCAATAGTAGTAACGAACACTTGTTGCTGTCGCCGTTGCGACTGGCTAGTAGCAGCGACAAACTCTTGGTCTTGTTGACAGTAGCAGCGATCGTTGGATCGCTTTGGTCCTCTTTTCTCTTGTCTTGGTGGAATTCGCAAATTTCGCAAATTCGCTCCTCGACAATGGCGCTGTCAATCCTGTTGTTGATATTCGTAGCGTTAGCACCGATTCAATCGGTCGCTACTATATAGCACTTCTGTTGCCGCTGTCGGTGGCAATACGATGACACGTTGCTGGTAGTAGCGGACTCTTGTTATTCTTGTTGTTCTTGCCGTAGTCGTTCGATCACTTGATCGTTGACTGACTTCTTGTTTGCGGGCGGAATTCGCTCGCAAATGTGCTCTTGTTTAGCCTGTTGCCGATGGATGCAACTCGCTCTGAGGTCGATTCAAGTGCTTGCACTCTTGAGGGCCTGTCAGTGACTGTATGGTAGCCCACTTCTGTGTATGACAGTCCTCCTGTAGGACCTGTCGTTGTCGAGTAATCGGCCTGGTAATGTGGCTTGTTTCGTGCCGCAAAAAGGTTTGCACCTCTTCTTTATCGGCACTGTTTCGATGGCTTGATAGTGAGGCTGGAGGAACTCCCACGGAAGTACCTCTGTGGTTCCTGTTGGAACTTGTTATCTCGTTCCTCTTCCGTGGTAACACCTCTGGTGTTGCTCCTCTTGGCTTGCTGTTGTGCTCACAGTAGCTCTGCTCCGCACCGTACAGTAACCTCTGCTCCGTATCGTACAGTAGCCTTGCTCGTTCCGGTTGGACTTGTCGTGGTAGCTAGCTAGATAGCTTGACTGCCACTCCTGCACTTCTTCGTGCGATGAGTCTTCTCTTGTAGTTGTCTTTCGTACCTGCACTTAGCAGTCATACGATTGCTGTTTCCGCAGGACAAAAGATCTTGGTCTTCCGGTCACCGGAAGTTCTGTTTGTTACACAGTAGTGCAACGCCTTGATGATCGCTCACTCCTGTGAGTGGGATGTTCGTGCTCCGGAGCTCACTCTTTGGCTCCTGGTAGCTGATCTTCAATGCGTCGCAACTCACTCAGTTTCTGTCGTACGAGGTTGCTTCCAGCATGTAGCTGTTCCAGTGCTCGAGCTGCGGCACCTTGCGTACCTGTAGGTCACTCCGTTCAAGCAATAGAGTGGTGTAGTTAGTAATGCTCTTCAATGCAGCTTGTGTTGGGCTGGACTGGTCGATTCGGTTGTACCGATTGCTCCGGTCAGTGTAGTGAGGCACGATTTCGTGATGTTGCCTTTTTCCTGCAAGGCTGTTTGGATAGCCCTTATAGTGGGGCTCCAGCACTATCGGCCTGACCGTTTGTTGAACTGGTTACCTTCTAGCATTGGACTTGATAGTCAATATAGATAGTCAATATCCCATTGGCGAGATCTCGAATTCGAGATGAAGGTAGAGCTTCTTGGAAATAGTGTTGGTTGCTAGTAACACTCTAGCTTAGTAAAGGTAAAATACTGTTTTACTGTTAAGCTATTTCCAAGAAGTGATCTTTCTCCATGTTTTCTGGGATTGATTCAACTTCAAAGGATATAGTGAAGGGGGTGACCATATAGATCTGTTAAACTCCCCATGTATGTAACTAGAGAATAGATATAGATATCCCCTATCAACTAGATTGGGATAAACGACTAATTTGTATTGAGGTGTCTGTAATACAACCTCCAACACTCTGTGTGTCTTCTTGGGCTGTGGGGAGTGCAGAGGGGGGATAGATGTGGAGATTTGGCTGTGGATGGAGTGGGAGGTTGTTCTTGTTGTGGATGTGGGTTGATTTGTGGAGTGAATCCAAATCCAAATGAAATTATGACCATTTCGCTGGCATAACGCACGCGAATGAGCGCCGAGTTGTTTTCGCCTTACGGACTAAAACATGTTTCGGTCTTTAGGTTTAAAACAGGTTTTAGACTTGTTGACTAAAACACGATTTGGGAAGGATGGTCAATGTTAGTTTTAGTCAAGTGACGAAAACATGTTTTAGTCAGTGGACGAAAACAGAAAGTTACTTAGGCGAGAGCGGGGTGAGTTACTCTGTGATATAATCCTGACTTGGCTCTTCACCATTTGGAGCTGCTTTGACGCAAGTTGGATCATTCACTCATTCCTCCCAATGGCAGCGACACTTCGTCTGGTGCTACATGTATCTCTTTCGGGGATTGCAGCTTTGGCACTCTCGAGAAGCACTTCCTTGTTTGTTTCTGCGTTGGCTCCATCGCCAACCACGAATTGCAACAGCAACAACTGTCTCATTTTGGGTCTGGGGGCCGTCGGCAAGGAAGTTGCTCAAACCATTGCCGGCGATTTTCCTCTAGTCTATGGGACCGTTCGGAATACGGAAGCTACGGATCAAACCGATGAAGACCCTTCCATTCTTCGAAAAATTGCCTTTGAGAAACTTTGTGGGAGCAGCACAGTTCCCTCCACATGTTCTCACGTCCTCGTCACGATACCCCCATCTTCCATGGGTGACAACCATTTAAACAACATCTATGACAGCATTGTGGAATCACTGCCCGATCAATCTTGGATTGGTGTGCTTTCAACCACCGGAGTCTATGGACATCACGACGGAAAATGGGTAGACGAGGACTCGGATCTGCTTTGTCAGGAAGGTACCAATGCAGCACGGTACAGAGATTATGAAACAGAGTGGCAAGATCGGATTCAGGGTACAAACCATGCTCTCTACATTTTTCGATGTGCCGGTATCTATGGACCCGAACGATCCGCTCTTCATACGCTCTACAAGAAAGGCATACCACTGACTACTGCTGAAGCACCTGGAAGGTACTCAACAACTACGGGTAGACAGCCACAAATCACAAACCGAATTCACGTGACAGACGTCGCAAGGGCCATTGCGGGAGGAATGAAGGAACCAAGAGACAACTATTCAACAACTCACATGTTCAACTTAGCGGACGACTTGCCAGAGTCTCGAGGTGTTGTGATGAAGTATGCTGAGGAACTGTTGGCAACCAACAACATTACTCTCCCCAAGGACACACCACCAACAACCAGGAAAGCGTCGGCATCATCCACACGTCGCGCCAAGAGAAGAACACAGGAATTGAAGCGAGTCAGCAATAAACGGATGAAAACACTTTTGTTGAAAGAAACTGGTTTGGCCTTTCCAACTTACAAGGAAGGCCTGCAAGCGATTCTGGCATTGCCAAACATGACATGTGTACTTCCAGCAGTAAAGGACGATAGATAGAGATGGGATTCGATTCTTCATTCGATATCCACCAGAGCGAATTTGCTTTTGACATCGAGGCGTCTGCTACGAGTAGTCCCGTGCGCCTCCAAAGGCAGACGACAATCACCACGAGCGATGAAGACGACAACTAAATTTCCAT